TCTGCACCAAAATGGGGACCATGAGGGTAACCTGCTTTGACTGGAGAACAGGAACTTAAGAATGGGAATCAGACGTTTCATCTGGAAAGACAGACGGCTGGTATCCTTTGGGAGGAGCGGAACTGAAATCACGAAAATTGTGTTGTGTTACTTGTGGTAGTATGTACCACATATGTAAGGTACATCTCTAAGTAAGCAGGAAAGCTCAGTTCTTGATTTCTTGTTTTTGTAAATCTCTGCTAGGTGAAATTATATTAGGTAACCTTTTTCTTAAACTGAGGGTTTATAGTTTAAGAGGTCATCTTTTCTTTTAGGAAAAAAATACCAGTTAAGCATTTGATGTCAATCTGGGATACACTAGTGATAGGTTGGCAGCTAGTACTCGAGGTGCCCCTCACCCCCCTTTTCTTTTTTACGCCCCCTGATTGAAACACAGACAGCTAAATCCGCGGAGTTACAGAGGAGCCTCATGAAATTAAGCACATAACTTTCCAATGGGATTTAGGGAAGCGTGATTCATTCAAGCTCTTTTGAAACTCCCATTAAAGTGAACTGTTCAAGGCATGACCTTAAGGTAACACTTGAATCAGCCACAAAATCTAGACTTCCAGCTCTTTGCTTTAAACGTTAAGACCTATTCTTTCTTCTGTATCCAGTGTATTCTGTTTGTAATTACCAGAAATTACCATTAGAGAAATCGGAGCTAATCTGAGGCTCATTAAGGAGCCAGAATTTATGCTTAACTATTTAAATAAATTCTTGTTGATCTGGTTTCTGGAGATTAAACTCTGTAATTTTATCTGTCATAGATGGGAGAAACTTGCTAGTACAATAGCACAGTGTCTCAGAGTAAAAAAACCCAACACACATATGTAAGTACAGAGAGAGTGGGTGTTTGCAAATGATTCCCCATTAAATCCCATCTAGTCAAACATGCTCAGTCCATTTTTGGTATTGAGAACTAGCCAGTCACTAGTTTTTTCTGACTGCTCTAGCAAAACGTAGCAGAGGCTAGATTAAGTCTGAAGACATATAGAAAAAAAAAAATTACTATTTGGAATTGATTTTGTTTTCAATAGATTAAAATCTTAAGAAATAGCTAACTGTTGTGGTTCCACTAGAAGTTTCACCTCCAAAATAATTTTGCAATGGTGCACTCAATATGCTGAACCACTAGCATTCAAATTTAGCAGAACATCAAAAGCAGTCAACTAAAAAATAGTGAGATTTTATTTGCCATCTGATTTGTGTAGTGAACCCTTGGGTAGTACTAGGATAAATGCTTGAGAGCTCTTTTTCAGACTCAGGGACTTAGAAATTTGCTCTTTTAAAAATCATGTCAGGTAGCATTCTTCTGGAGTAATATTAAACTTTTAACATTAAGCTGACTTAAAGCAAACATACAGATTCACTGACTTCTATGAAAGCTTTGATTAGCTGGTAGCAAAGCTCTGTCACAGGCACCTTTATATTCTGTTACAAAAGTCTACCTCAGCTCAGGACACAACCTGAGTCTGTAATGCACAACTGTTATTTCACCTTACATGTAGGGAAGGAAAACAAAAACAAAGCCTGCAAGGGTTCGCCTCCCCTTATAACAAAAGGGAACTACAATTCCAAAGTGGCTTAAAAAATGAAGCATCCTCCTGATTTCTTTATTGCTTATGAATCTGTAGAGTACATGAATGATAACTCCCTGTAGTAGGGATACCTTAACTTACATCAACTCAGAGGTTTTTTTACAATTTTAAAATTAAGAAGCATTAATATCAAACTATATATTTTCTTTTGGTCCTTGATACAGAAGTAAGCCACCTAAAGTGCTCCAGGGTTTTTTTGCCAATTTGCCATCATCTGTAAAATGGCAAAAAATTGTTACAGACATATTTGCCAAAAAGTCTGGCAAAAAAAAAAATTAAAGGAAGGCTACTGGTTTATTTATATTGTTCCACTAGTCAGGGGGCTTTTTTAGATGTTAATTTTTCAATAACGATTTCAGAGTTAAAGGAAATAAATAGGATGCCAGTTGTTCAGGCATTACAGCATTCACTAGAGGACCTATATTGGCATCATAACTGTGTACTGTAAGTTAGAGCTGTATCTCAATGTTTCAAGATGCTGTATTCTGCAGTTTCATTTCCTTCTTGGAAAGCAAGTAGGATGTTTGCTAGGAAATTACTTTTACTGGGAAATACTGGAAGTTAATTTTTTGGATGACCCACTTGAAATGGGAATTATGTCATTTTTACATAAGCCTATCTGGTGATACTAAACTTAGATAATTGACTTTGATGGAGACCTAGTCTTTGCTGCAAATGTATAAAAATACTTAGCTGGCTTATTAGCCTACAATTCACATCAGAAAATGATCTAAACTTAAAAATTATGGGAGTTTAGAAGCTTTAAATCATATAGGAAATTTGCATATTTTTGTTCTACATAATTGGAGCTGAACTGTAAGAGCTTTCTGAACACTGGGAAACAGTAATCATTTCACAAGTTTATGAAGCCACTAAAGCTGTGAAGTAATTGATTTCTTTGTTGAAAGTTCACACACAGATGTGAGAAGAGCGTATTTAGCTCATTTCCATACCACTGAATGGGACTATCAGCATCTCGGAATCCTGTATGAAAGAACTTGACTACAACTATAGAAATTTGATATTTCATGCAGATTTTAGAAAGGCTGCAGAGTGGCAAATTGTAGCTGGATGAGGAAATGAATATTTGTCATTAACATGACCCCAGAAGAATATATTTGGCAAAAAATACCTTTCCTTGTGAGTCTTCTTTTGTAGTTTGTCATTATACATGCAGAACAAAACAACACCAAGTGTAAAATCATCTTTATCCTTACAAAACATCAGTATTATGGAATGATACAATTATGTCCTATTCTGACAGCATCATCAGAATACCACAGGAATTTACTTTTTGCAGAAATCTAGCAGTTTAAATAAAAAATTAAAGGTCACAATCAATAGATGGCAACTAGATTTCAAGATTAAGTGGATTGTCACATCAAGAAGTATTTTCGTTAGCATGCCCACAGGGAAGAAAAGCTAAGGGAAATACAATCTGCATTCCCTTCATGTCAGTTGCACCTCTGAAGTCTTGAAAATACTTAGAGATGTGTTTTGTGCTTAAGTGGAGCAGAGGAGTATGCGGCCTGTCCAAAGTCACTCTCTGATCTAAAAAATAACATTCTTCACTCAGGTTCTTACTGCAATCCACATACACTCACAAGTCACTGCAAAATATTTGCCACTGACAAACAAGTGTCTAATAATGAAAAAATGTAGCAATAAACATACAGTCAACAACCTGCAGTAACTTAGCGATAACCACTATTTCACAATAATTAAGGTCACCCTCTGCCTAAGGTTTAAAGGTTGCACACTGCAGGTACAGCATGTACAGTAGAGAAGGACAAACATGCCTAATGGTCACAAGACACTGATCTTAATGAAACCTGCCAGTCTGTCAGCACAGCAGCACTACTCTTTACGAATTTTAAGAATCAGGTAGCACAAGCGTTTGGAGTTCAGAAATAAAGTCAATGGCATAAACCACAAAACAGTCGATGCTATTCTTTTGTTCCTAAAATGTGTAAGGAAATCCAGAAAAGAACAAAATATGGTTATTCCTTTAACGTAAGAATAGAATGGCAAAGATTTTGTTCAATTAAATTCACTATAATCGACACTGGTGAGTCTTGCAGCCCAATCACTGGAGGAAAAAGAAGAGGCCTATCTGAACTATATGGCACTTCCTTTAACAGCTTTTTAGTTGATATCTGACTGACAGGGACAGGAAAATTTGAGAGCAAAGCTTAGGTATTTCCTATTGAGAAAATTTGAAGCATCCCAGAGAAGTGAGGGTATGTTATCTTGGTAGATGAGTACTCAGCAAGTTGCTGATGGCAGATCGTTCTATAATGAGTCATTCCTGTGGAGTGGTAAATTCGTCAGTTGAGGTCTTGATGTCATCTTTGACAGCTGCTGTTGGTCTGGTAGCAGCAGATGCTGAACATGCTCTCTTGTGCAGCACAGAAAGGCAGGCTGTAGCTGCTACGAGCATGTGGAGATAAGAGGGATCTGGTTGCTGGCAAACAGACAGCATAGCAGCAACAACTCCGGTGGCTACACCAGGCTGTCATGGCACAGGTGACCACATCTTACTTCCTTAGAAGCAGCTGGTACCCAGCAGGTTGGATCAGGCCAACAGGCGCTTGGTTTATACCACGATGCCTTACTGCAAATGAGTTTTGTTGCTGCCCAGTGACAGACTGTTACGTGGGGACATGAATACCCACCAAGCCAAAGCAGGATGTTTTTTGTGGAAGTTCAGCACAACGCAATTACCAGTAACTAGAGACCAACAGCATATGTTGTGCTTAATCAGTAGTCTGACATACATAACTAAAGAAAAGTCAATGCTCATTAATGGGGAAAAATTTATGAAGTTTCTTCCTGTCTTCTTGGTTTAGCAGAATACTTTCCACCGATTTCAGTTCTTTCTGAACTCTTCAGAACATCCACAGTGAATGCCTGTCCACAAGTAGCCGAGTAAGTCTGAACAGTCATCCCCGTGAAATGGGGGAAGCATTGTTTCCATCTCCAGCTTCAGCCATCTCCTCTTTTGCCCCAGCTCTGGTTCTCTTTGGACCCACCTCTGAGTTGATTCAATGTTTTACCAGTGGCTTATTAGGAAACAATACAATAATTCCCCCCCCCCCCCCAACTCCCGCAGTTGTTTTCTCTTAGGTCGAAGAGTTAATTCACCTCACAGAAGCTCAGAAAACTGCCAGAGATGGTGCAAGGGGAAGTGGTGGGAATGCATGGCCCCTAGCAGAAAACAAGGTCAATTGGCGCTTACCCTGTCACAATTCACCCTTGGGACTAGAGTCTCAATCAGAAAGTTGGTCAATCAAGGCTTAGACTGATGCCACTGGGGGCCATTCCAGGAGATTTTGAAAGAAGACACTAAGATACATAAATATGTGAGACTGTATTTTAATGAGCAGTTTGATTAAATCTACCTTAGACTGGCTAATCATAGGTCATAAAAAGCCATTTTAAAGTTGTAGTAAACAAAATCTTATTGAAAGTGAATTAATTTAAAGAAGTAAAAAACAGACAAGACCCAGAGCAGTCTCTCAGTAACAACTTCTAAATGCACGCTATAAAATTATGTGTTTCCCACTCATTATAATGACAATTAAGAGAATTTAAAAATACATATGCTACAGGCTTAATTTAAAAAAAATCCTATTAGCACGGCATGAATGAATCAACAGTTCAAACAATGCTTTAAACTTTATACCTGACTTCTAATTAAGAGGTTGTCCTCACTTTTTTTCCCCAAGAATAAAGACTACTATAACTTTCAGAAATGGAGACCTAGAACAAGTTAAATGATGTAGCAGTAGAGCAGGATCAACAAATGCAGGTTGTTGAAATAGGAATTTTTAAAGCATGCAAACAAAATGTCACATTAGTTCTCCATAGCTTTTTTCAAAATCTTTTTTTGCATCTGAATTTTCATTCCTGTATTTTCATTCAATACTGTAGCAGTTGACAGGATTCATAAATGGTAATGATTGTTCAGCATTTTTCTTTTAAGTCTCCTTTTCTTCTTGGATGTGTTTAACAGTCAAAACTGACTGCTGACATCTGTCAATCAGCCGAGTATAACAGCTCCCCCTTCTGGTTTTAACAGTGTGAGGTGGAATCTGGAACTCCCATCGTCATGTAAGAAACCTGCATAGGAGAAACAAGAGAAAAGTGAAAATATTCTAAAACCAGGTATTTAGTCGTAAGAAATCGGCAAAGGAATATTAATGCCACTATGTTAGCCCAACCTATTCAACTGCAGGGGCTGAGGAGCAATTTTAGAATGGTTCTTGCAGGCCATGAGGTAGCTCTGTGCAGGTGTGTTAGCCAGCATGTCTTCATCACTGTATGCAGTGGCAGCACTCCAACTATCTGTTCACGCAGAGACTCACTTGATAGCAAGCCTCCTGTCCCACTGCTTCCTCCTCTACTGTGGGCATAAAGGCTAATGATCCAAGTACCTGTCTATTCTGGGCTCATCATGCCTGAGCAGCCATTTGTCATCTCTTCTGATGCAAACGTGGTGGGTGGAGAGGACTATCTGTTGGGCCAACTCTGTGCAACAAGTTAGCCTATCCTGTTTAATTAGACCACCACTTTGGCCTAGCAACTCCTTTATATTCTCAGTACTGGTATCTTTACACTTGCTTAGATTTTCAGGAAGAAAAGTGTACCAGACTCTGAAACGTTATGCTACCACCGTGTTTTGCCATACCAAGCTGTATATTGCTTATGTGAGAGTTGCTTCAGGGATCCTTCATGTAAAGTACTGCCTGATCATATTATCTATGTGCTTTTACTTTAAAATATTTGTTACGAAAACTTTCAAAACATTGATCATTGCTACATTAGAAAACAGAAAGTCACGTTAATTTGCTGTGTGAGGTAAACAGGTAAGACTAATCAATGAAACAATCAAATTGCAAGCAGCCATTTTTGCTGAATGGAAAAAAAAAACAACGCACCATATAACTAATACCACTGAGACAGACTGAAATCAAACCTGATCCTGCAAGCTGAAGAACAAAAGTGGGTGTTCAGGCATCTCTGCATAGATTAGCTTACTAGGCTGGGGTCTTTTTTCTCTGTTGCCTTTTTCTGATAATGTTTGATACAATTTAGTTTTAAAAAGCAATTGCATTCCATGCTGTACATAGGTGCTAAAATGTGCACAGGACATAACTATTAATACATTACATTACATTAATACAAGTTGCATTGTGTGGTAAAGGAGCATTATTTCAGGCATAGATACAATTGCAGTGGTAATGGAGCGGAGTGGGGGAGATGTGCAATACTGAAGTTTTCTGAGTGGGGAAGCAGACTGAAGTGATGGTGTCATCTGTAGTCTCTCCCTCCAAACAGATCATCTCTACAGATAAATTCACACCTGAATATAAATGTTGTTGTCATTTACAAGATCCCGTTTTCTCCTGCTGGATATTTTGAAGGATCTAGCCCATGCTGCTTCATCTGCACTGCGATGTCAAACAAGTAATCATAACACTCACACCTAAAATTAAAAGGAAAAAAAGGTGAAATGTAAAGTAAGGCTCAAGTCCTACCATATTTTATGAAAATTAATAGTTTTCTTCCTTGAGCTTTATATCACCAATGCGACGGCCTGACTGGACAGCTCTATTATCATTTATTTCCATTACTGCGGTATGGAAAGTGCCCAGCATTTTTGCTACATGATCCTGATTTGCTGCATTTCCATCAGCAAATGAAGAAGTAAATTCCAAAAATGGGACTAGGGAAGACTACACAAACAGTATTGGCAGGTGTCATATAAAAGCAGAGATTGCCTGCAGGTTTCATATGAGGAGGGACTTGTCCATATGAAAGGAAAATGTTGGCAACCCTATCAGCCAACATATGAAAGGAAAACCAAGCGGTGGAATCATGGATGAACTCATTCCCAAAAGCTCCCTATACATCCAGTGAGGCCAGAACTTAACGTTCTGAATAATTGTCCATGGGTTGGAAATACACATGACATTAAGGTCATTAAGATTTTGAGGTATAATGGCAAAAGATATCTAAATTGTACTCACATCGTTTTGGCTTTTTCCCATGTTTCTCCCCATACGTAAACTCCGTGACGTCTGACCAATACAGCACAAGAGTCCGGGTATTTTTCCACAGCATGTGCCATTCTTTCCTTGAGATCCTTCTCTTCTGGTGTATTCTCAATAATGGGAACCACTAGTGTATCATCATATCTAAAAGAAAAATGAATGTTCATATATTTAAAAAAATGCTGTGTTTGGATGTATGAAGCTTTTCCCTAAAAGAAAGAGATTCTCCTTTGACTGTGTAAAGATGTTAACAAATTCTCAACACTAGTGACTCTACGCTCTTCTCTTGTGAGTCACGCTGTAACATAAGAACTCTCAGGAACATCTCTCACTCCCAAACGTATGCTATACTGGCAACACCTGAGCTACACTTGAGGCACACAAAAAAAATAACACTTTAATGTATTAGGTGTAGCTGTTTGTTCACATACCACTTTGTAGTAGGGTCCCTTTACAACTTTTTCAGACTCTCTTCATCCTGTATTGGCATCACCTACAAGCTTTATCTCAGATTAAATTATTTAAAAGAATCACATCATGAAGAAGGAAATTAAGCTGTTTGCTGGAGAGCAGAAAAAAATTAATTTAGGTAGTCCAAAAAGCCCCCGGAAATAAGATTGTCCTGCTAAGGCATATAAATAGAAAGTAGAGTCAACACATGAAAAATAAATTCTCTGTGATGGAGTCATTGGTGGGCTATATGTGATCTTAAGAGAGCCTGAGAACCCCAGTTCCAAAGACAAGATGATGCATGTTACTGAGTGGAACTTGCCTAAGAGTTTCTTCTAAAGGAGGACCGGGATATTTGGCACTGCTTGAGCCTTAATTAACACTGGCAGAAACTTGTTTAAATAGTTTTAATAAGTCCCCAGTTCAGGTTCAGATTTATCATTGAGATCACATAGATATTTCATGAGTGGATGCTAGTAGTACTTACTTTTATAAAACACAGAGAGAAAGCAATGGTAAGAATAATACAGCTTGTCATCCCTTACAGTTTTCAATGCTGATGCTTTCCCAAGGAAGTCTGTAAAAATAGTAGGTGTTTTTTGTAGGTTTACTTTGACTCTTACATATTCTGATCATTAAAATTAGATTTGGAGTGTTTGCTACTAGTGAGGCCAAATGAGCTAAGGGATTGGTTTCCTAGGTTCTGCTTTCTACTTGGATGTGAGTTTGGAAGTAGGTATAAATACCATAACTGATTCATCACTAATCAGTTTTTGGATTAAAAAACTTTAACCATAAGCTTTTTATCAAGAACTAATATCTATAAAACCCCAAGAAGACTACGAATGAGTTAAATACTTGATCTCTCTTTAGTTTTATTGAAATATAAGCAGCCTACATTTAGCCAAACCTTCATACAAAATACCTTGGGACAGTCTGAGACTTTCAAAGCTATTTACTACAGATCTAGTTCTGCTTCTACTGAAGTCAAAGGTAAAACTATTCTGGCATCACTGGGATCATATTTAGGCCAACAAATACTTCTGATTATCCTATCTGTAGCATTTTCCTGGATAGCTTCCAGAAAAGGTTCATGTAATTAGAAACAATATGTTGTCAATCCCTTTTTTGAAAGATCCCATTCTGTACTATCAAATTTCTTTTGAATTCAATGGGGAGCCTTGCGTGAGGCAAGACAGTGGAATCAGTCTAGTATGGACGAATATGTACTTAGGAACCATGTAATCTGGAGCTTTGATTTCTTTAGTTTTTCTGGTAAATTAACAGGAAGACACAGGACAACTCAGAGATATGGAACCCAATGTCTCCTGACTAACATTTAGGAATGTTTGAGAATTCAAAATGCATATCCAAAAAAGAAGATTGTTGTGGATTTTTTAAAAACCAGTGTTGTTAGACAATTCAATATAAGGGGTGTCTTTTGCCACATTAAAAATACAAGTGCTAATGCTGACAAGAAAGTAAAGCTGGCAAGTCAACCAAAACTGAATAAAATACGCCTGGGCGTAAAATCACACGCAAGACATACAGCTTGCTCCCTTGCCAAAGGGCAATAGTTAGTTACAAAAATTAATATCAAAAAGTGGGAAGAATTTAGCATTTCAATTTTTCATCTAATTGTCACATATTATATAAATGTTGTTTGCAGATCCCAATTCAACACTCTGTGGGTGGAGTCCTCAAAACAAGCCATCACACATAATTTGGAATAACTCAGCACTTACCTCAGAGCTCATCCTTGAAAGTAATAACATTATCTTTAATGAGCTGTTTATTCTGAATTTTCTTTCAAAGTCTGTCAAGTAAAATCTGAAATCCTCTACTCTCTTAACATGCCCTAAACTAGCACAGGCAGTGGTATGTGAAGTCCACCAAAATGTATTTTGTATGTTATCAATCCAACCTCATGTCGGTTGGCTCCAGTTTCAGTTTAACATTGTATAGATGTGTTAACATCTCTGTTCTTGAGATATTTGTCAGGACATAGCTCTTTATTTGGTTTGTTTATGTAGATCAACAGATCACAGTAGCCTTGACATTACAAGACTTTATCTCAGATCTCTTCCAAAGGCTTGAGCCCTTCTTAGGGAAAGCCAATGATTTATTTATTCCAGAGGTCTTTTTATTTCTTATTCCTAATACTTTATATTACACACTTTAGTGCACATAACTCAAATGACTTGTCATCTATTTATATCGCTGGAAACAAATGATCAGATAGCATGCTTCTTTTCTTAAACATAGAGAAGTATGAAGGACTCTTAAGAAGTTTTCTCAAACATAAAGAAGTACCGGTAATAGCCTCCTGAAGTACACTTCTGGATTCCTTTTATCATCTCCTGATGGGTAATACTGAACTCGCTCCCTGGGTAAAGAAGGGTAGCCATAACAGCAGCCTTGGAATGAGTATGGATTACTGCGCCTGCCCCTAAGAACAGAAGAAGAAGAAAAAAATATATTTTTAGAATTAATTTTAAAATGTGTCTATTAAGAAAAATTTATTCACATACTTTATTCATTTCCTTTGGCTAGGCATCTTAGCAAATGGCGATCTACTGTATTAGAGAAAAAAATATACAGCAACCTAAATAAAGGTATGAGATAATTACTCAGCTATAAAGGTTAATTATGGATTGTCTTAGGATACAAGTGTTAACTTTTAGTTAGTGACAAGTTCCAGGAGAGAAACTACTTGCACAAATTCAAGGAGAAACACTACTTGTACATTTCTTTACATACTGCAATGACTGCAACACTCTGTTAACTTTATCAGAGTTTTGAGATTCTAAAGAATTCCCAAACTTATTTGTGAGACGAAAGCTTAAAGACTTTTACTTTCTTTTTATGCTAGTACTCTTCTTCGATTATCCACTGATTCTCTGAAAAAATATTTATTGTTATCTTACTGTGTCACGATGGAAAGATAGGTAGACAATAATTATAATTTACTTATAAATTTGCAGTGTTGCCAAAAATATGAAATGAGTTTTCCTCAGGTACACATACAAGCTTCTTGTGCAGGAAGATCAGAAGAGACTCCCTAAATCCTTTCTAAAGTAACAAATGTAAATCTTACACAACAGCAAAAACTCTCCATCACTGTCCACCTGCAAAAGAAAAGTTTCATACTTTTTTCACCTAGCCGTAATTTAGAACCTTTGATCACAGCCAATGGTTGTAAAAGGATCTAAAACATAGTTGCTGAATAGGCAAAAATTTGTATAAAACTGCTGTAAATCCCCCAGCTCCTCCCACAACCTACTAATGTACTGCACTAAAAACTAGTGCCGAAAAGATAATCACAGGTATAGCTGCATGAGAAGATTAAAATGTAAAAGACACTCACAGGATGTTACCAAGGATTACCTTCCATTGTACATATTCCTTTGCAAATCAATTTATTTTATAGATCCATGTTTATTTCACTGTAACTTCCATGTATAATGAATATGGTATTGAATTTCAATTTTGTTGATGTGCATATACAGTGTTTCAGTCATTGCTGAACTAAAAACATTTGCTACGCACCTCTCATAGTGTAGGCATTCATAAAAAGAGGTGTGCACTGGCTTTTCTTTAGTTTCTTGTGTGGTGGAGGACCACTGATGTCTTGTTCGTTCATGTCACAAACAAACATATCTTCTGGCTGTAAGAAAGGAGAAATTATTTTGACCTGTGATGACCTGAATAGTTTTGTTTTCCTTCTAGGGAGACAAACATATACACCATATATTTAATATAGAATGTGATTTTAACTTTGTAAAAGTGCTGTAACGCACCGCATTTATTCTAGCTTCTAATACTATTTACTGACATCGTGTAATGTGAATTAATATTAGGTACTCTTTTTATTCAAACTGCTGCCAAGCAGGTATTTGTAAAACTAAAATTTTCTCAGAAAGGAGACAGCCTGTATCTAAATAACAGACAATAGATCAAAAGGAAAAGTAGTAACTGATTCAAAAAAAGAAATTTAGATGTACTTTTCCTTCCCCCCTTAAAGAACCAACAAAGGATGTGAATTAAACCTACATATATTTAACTTGTAAAACTATTTTTTTAAACCTTGCTTTTAGTAGCTTTACATGAATATTTGCATCAATCAGCTACTCACAATAGTACAAAGAATTGTCCAGGGCAGCAATAAAACTTTCTTCTCTAATCTTCTTTTACAAGTCAG